TTAGGGTTTAGGGTTTAGGAAATGAAGCTTCCAAACCCAGGAGGCCGAAGTTTAGGAAATGAAGCTTCCAAACCCAGGAACCCGAAGTGAGAGCCAGCGTTCCCTGTAAAGATCTTGTATACAAGACGGTTTAGGGTTTTGGGCTTAGGGTTTGGGGTTAACACAGCTGCTACAGCCTTTTGTAAAGTCCTTGCCGAACTGAAACATGCAATGTCCCATAGCAAAGAACTCCCAAACCTAAGCTCGAAACCTTGAACTCTACATGGTGCACGTGTAAGCCCCCTTACAGTAACGTTTTGGGTCTGGACCCATCCATCATGAAACTAAACTGTGGGCCCTGACGAGAAGCCAGTGGTCCAAACCGGATTTTGCTGTTGAACTCTGCTTCTCCCAGTGCAGGTCTATAAGGGGTTTAGGGGTTTAGGTGTTTTGGGGTTTACAGTTGCATTGCTTAGGGTTGATGGTTTTGGGATGTCGGGCCTCGAGCCTTCGTTTAAGGTGTTTACATGAGACCTTAGACGAGAGCTGTGAGGTTCAGGAGTGGAGTGCAGGCTTGTCATGTTGACACATTTGGGGCATAGGATAATTCAGAAAACCAGGTTGACGCCCAGAGCTCGGACTGTGTGGCTAAGGATTGAGGGTTAAAGCGTTCAGGGTTTAGGGTTTGAAAGGTTTGAGATGCAAAATGTACCTAGAACTGTCGGGTTTCTTGTGATGACACCCCCATGTAACCGTTTGGGGCTTAGGGTTTAGGTTTTAGGTTTTACGGTTTAGGGGTTAGGGGCCTATGTAGTCCTCAGAGTTCAAAGAAGATTTGGGTCTGGAGTCTCGAATCTAGGAGGTCGGGCTAAGATTTCAGGGTTCTAGTCTTGAGAATTCTTGTCCACCCAATCTAGAGCTTGTGGCTTGAATTTCGGTTTGGGAGTTTCAGAACGTGAATGACCTTAACATAGACCCTCGCAGTCGGAGCCTTCTTGTTAAAGACCCCTGCAGAAGGCACCCCCCAGTTTCAAGAGCCATAGAACTCTGATAAAGGATCATAAAGCACTCTCCAGGCCACTATATAACCCTCACGAAACCCTAAAACGAAAACAATATAAACCCTTGCGAAGCACCATAAGCTCCGTGAGACTTCCTTCGGGAGATGCCTCCTGGCGCTGCCAACAAAGCCGCACCCCGCTCTTCCCAAAGGGCTTTACCTGCTTTCGGGGCTTAGGGCTTCAGGGTGTAAAGGGATCAGGGTCTCAGGTTCCAGCTTTTGGGCTCCGGTTTTGGCCCAATGCCCCTTAAACCCTAAACCCTAAACCCTAAACCCTAAACCCTAAACCCTAAACCCTTGATGCAAACATGTACTTCTCAAATTGCCGCATATGCGAGATTCTATCCAGAAGGCTCTACAAGTCGACTCGGGTTTCCCAAAGGGCTCCTCTTGGGGCTTAGGGTTTAGGGTTTAGGGTTTAGGGTTTAGGGTTTAGGGTTGGCATGTTCCACGAGCTTGCAACGCCATAGAGTCATGGGTGTTAAGAATACCGTAACTTTGCTTCCCCACAGAGTCATAGGTGTAAAGAACATCGTAACTTCGTTTCGCAAAGGTTTGTCACCGGCGGGGTTGGGGGTTTTGAAGTATCGTGTTTCCCAAGAGCCCAACACCACCCAGTCATGGACCCTAAACCCTAAACCCGAATACGAATTTCGTCCGGTGCTTCTCGGGCTTTAAAAGGGTGCTCTATGGACTTCTTGGCTACAAAGAAGCCGCTCCAGTTGTAAGGGTAGTTTCGGGGCCTGACTAACTCGACTAAGGCTTTGGAGCCCTAGGGTTTAGCGTTTAGGATTTAAGGGTTTACGGTTTAAGGGTTTAGGGTGCTATATTATAGTATGTTTAGATTGGGGAACCAGTTGATTTTGGGCCTCGGCCGGGCTTTAGGGGTTGGCTATGCGTTTCGCGCTCGAGGACTGTCTGCTGTGGGGTTTGGCATTGAAGGCTTGGAGTTTCGGTTTAGGGTTCAGGGTTTAGGGTCTAGGGCAGACCCCAGTATCGAGATTATAACGACCCTGCAAACGCGAACTTCTGGCAGCTGGTGTCTAGACTGGGCATTCCTTGCTTGCTGCAACTCCAACATTGTACCCTCACATCGCCTTAGATGGAGAAGTCTTACCTGTGGGTACAAGGCCTCCTGAATTGCAAGACCTAAAAGACCAAGGTCTGCCCCAGAAAATTCCACAGCATCCTACCGACTCAGCCGCACGAGCTACAACACCCGTATGTAACAACATATATAGAACCTGATACCCGACAAAACCCCTTATGAAACCCCCCCCTCAACTCTAAACCCTAAACCTCTCTACCAATGTATATTTAAACCTT